AACATAGTATACAAATGGTGCTCAATAAGTGTACCGTGGTTCTTTTTTCCCTGCCAAACTCCCCAGGCATGGCCTCCACATGCACAAGGCCCTGGGTTTACCCCATCCTCCAGCAAGATACAGGGTTGTGTATACAGTTGGTGCTCCCCATGCTCTCCAGCCATGTCAAGGAAACAGGGTGGGGACTTGAAGGGAGGGGCAAGACAAATCGGTGTGTGTCTGACCAAGCCAGGGGCACTGATTGAGCACCGGCTGTGTGCAGGCTCTGGGAGACAGGACAGCAGCTCCCAGAGATAAGGGGTTCCCACCCAGGGGGCGGGCCGGGTGTCCCGGGTGCTGGTGCCACGTTGGCTCCCTGCCCACACCTCCCCAGCCAGGGGACGTTGGTCTTGCCACAGCCCTGGCTGTGGCCCCCGGGAGCGGGAGGAAGTGGGGGCCGAGGCCCTCCCGGAGCCGAGTCCTCCCACTCGGCCCAGCCAGGTGGCAGGAAAGGAGCCCGGCCCGGAGGCCTGGTGGAGAGCGGAGCTGCCGTCCCTCCGCAGGGCCCCCTCCTCACCGGGAAGCCTCGGGGGCGTGGGCCCTCCAGGTCTCAGGGCCAGGCGGACTTCCAGGCCCGGGACACAGCTACACCCTTTGTGAACAGTATGTCCCTGTGACGTAAAAAGGATCGTGTGCACATTCAACAAACTGTGGGGTTCGCGGGCCGAATCCAGGGGCTCCACGCGAGCTGCGCCCCAGCACCGTGTTTTCTGTTTTGAGAGAGGGTCTCGGTGAGTTGCCCAGGCTGGCCTTGAGCTGGTGACCCTCCTGCCTCAGCCTCCAAGTGGCAGGGTGACAGGCACGGCCTGCGCCTGGCCCAGCCACCGCCGTCTGGGCCAGCCCCTCCTCCTCAGCCCTGGTGCCGAGGACAGGAAGTGGGGCAACACAACGGCCTCCCTGTGTGGGCCTATAAGAGGGCAGGGCGTCTGGTGGACAGAGACCGGCAGCCCTGGCCCACCATGACCCACAGCTGCGGAGCCCACAGCCCTGCCCTCACTTCAGTCCTGCTGGCCTTGCTGCTGGGCGGTGAGTGGGGCCATCTGACCCTGGGTGTCCTTTGCCACCTTTTCACTGGGCACCAAACCTGGGGTCTCCTCGTTCCCATGGGGTGGTAAAAGTCGGGACTGAAACCCCAGAAAAGGAGACAGAAGCTCTCAGTGGAGAAGTCACACCTGGTGCCCAGAGCCAGGATTTGTGAATCTGGGGTGAACAGACCCCCTGACTGCACCTGGGCCCCACAGTCCCCCGCTGTGCCTCAGTGTCCTCATCTCCCCCGTGGGTTTCTGTGGGGTCCAGAGGGCCGAGTGGCCAGGTGGAAGGGACTCACGGCCGGCCACTCCTGCTCCCACCCCATGTGTCTCCAGGCCCAGTGCTGGCCTCGGAGATCGTGGGTGGCCGGCCAGCCCGGCCCCACGCGTGGCCCTTCATGGTGTCTCTGCAGAGACGGGGAGGCCACTTCTGTGGCGCCACCCTGATCGCCAGGAACTTCGTCATGTCTGCGGCGCACTGTGTGAATGGCCTGTGAGTGTCCACCCCGGGACGGGCCGTGAGGCCAGGCTGGGCTCCTCAGGCCCTCCGTGCCCAGGCAGGGCCGAGGTCCCACAGCCACCCACCCGCGGCCTGCTGCCCTCCCGCTTGCTGCAGGAACTTCCGGTCAGTGCAGGTGGTGCTGGGTGCCCACGATCTGCGGCAGCGCGAGCCCTCCCGGCAGGTCTTCTCCGTCCAGCGGGTCTTTGAGAACGGCTTTGATGCCACGCGCCTGCTGAACGACATCGTGATTCTCCAGGTGACCCAGCAGGACAGGTGCCAAGGCTCGCGGCTCCGAGGCCGGACAAGTCACGGGCCCGGCCCTGTACAGGAGCTCGGCCCCGGGCAGCTTCAGCAAGCGCGTCTGCCTGGGGGCGGGGGCAGTGGCAGAGGGACCCAGCTCTGGTTGCTCCCTGGGGAGTTGTCATGATGGTGCACGGCTTGCCGGACCGAGCACCTCCTGTTTACTGTGGCCTCACTTCCTAGCTGGGAGCACCGAGCGCAGGGCAGGGCGCAGCTTGCTGGGTGGTGGAGCCACCGCGCAGCCCCAGGTGGGGACCTCTGTCCGGCCTCCTTGACACCTTGTGTTCTGTCCCTGCGGCAGCTCAGTGGGTTTGCCACCGTCAACGCCAACGTGCAGGTGGCCCAGCTGCCAGCCCAGGATCGCGGTGTGGGCAACGGGACGCCCTGCCTTGCCATGGGCTGGGGCAGGCTGGGCACGAACCGACCGACACCCAGCGTCCTACAGGAACTCAACGTGACGGTGGTGACGACCCTCTGCCGCCGCCGTGTCAACGTGTGCACACTTGTGCCGCGCCGGCAGGCCGGCATCTGCTTCGTAGGTGCCCCGTGCTCCTCTGCCCACCACCCCACACTGCCTGGGCCACTTCCCGCCCGGAAGGGCAGTGGGAGGGCCACAGGCCCGCAGTCCAGCCTCCTGACCTCAGTCTTCTCCACAGGGGGACTCTGGCGGCCCCCTGGTCTGCAACGGGCTGGTCCAGGGCATCGACTCCTTCATCCGGGGGGGCTGCGGCTCTGGGCTCTACCCCGACGCCTTTGCCCCAGTGGCAAAATTCGCAGACTGGATCAACTCTGTTATCCGCAGCCCCACGGACGGCCCGCTCCCCCACCCCAGGGACCCTGTGAGCAGGACCTCCTAAGAGGGCCACCCCTGCCGCCCGGCTGGGCCACCCCACCACATTTCCTCACCCGGCAAAATAAAAGTCCTGTCTGTGGAAGGCGCCTGGCCCTGCAGCCTGGGAGAAAGCAGTCGGGGAGCTGGGAGTCGGCCTGGGGGGGGGGGGGGCGGCAGGAAACGCCTGCTTCCCAGCCAGGATCCGGTCGGGGGCTCCGCTGTCCCTGCTAGGCACCCAGCTGTTGGAGGCCCGGGCAGGGGTCACAGCAGCAGGCTCTCCAGCCTCCAGGCCACTGGCAGGTGGAGGGGCTGAGACCAGGGGCAGAGCCGGGCTGTGCTCTCCGGCTCTGCCACGCGGGGCACGTGGTCATGGCCCTCTGAGCCCGATGGCTACTGCTGAGGCGGGGTGGTGTCAGGGAGGGGCGGACAGGGCAGCCCAGCTGGGCCCTGCTCCCACCCTGGCTGGCTTCCGGGTTCCCAGGACAGCGGAGCACCTCCCTCTGGGGAGTCTGCAGAGCAGCCCTGCGCAGCCAGCCCGGCAGAGGAGAGAAGTGCCCAGGAGGTGGGGACAGCTCCCCTCCCTCTGTCCCAGGTCCCAGTGCCCTCTGTCAGGGACCTTTCCTCTTCTTTAAAAAAACATTTTCTTAGGGGCTAAGGATACAGCTGAGTTGGCAGAGCGCTGGCCTTGTATGCACCAGGCCCTGGGTTCAATCCCCAGCACCACAAATTAACACTTTATCACTTGTCAATGGACTTTATTTTATTTATTCACATGTGGGCGGAGACTCGAACCCAGCACCTCACACATGCCCAGGCAAGCGCTCTACCACTGGGCCCCAGCCCAGATCCCTTCCTTTCTTCTCGGTGCTGGGGAGGGACCTGGGGCTGGTGTGTGCCCGACAAGCATCCCCCCAGCCACCCCTGGGGACTCAGGGCCTGCCCCTCCCAGGCCAGCCTTCCTGGCCAGGCAGTGGGGGTCCTCACCCCGCCCCTTCCCCTGGGCCCAGCTGTCCCAGGCTCAGTTGCAGTTCCCAGTGCATGGGCAGGTCACACTGTACCCCACGTCTGCAACAGCCTGTCTCCAGGAAGAGCAGGCAGGGGGCAGCGGCGCACCCCAGTCTCTGCCCAGCGGTTGAACACCACCCTGCTCCAGAGGGCACAGCCTAGGGTCCTCTCCCCATCCTGCTCCAGAGGGCACAGCCCAGGGTCCTCTCCACCCTGCTCCAGAGGGCACAGCCTAGGGTCCACTCCCCACCCTGCTCCAGAGGGCACAGCCCAGGGTCCCCTCTCCACCCTGCTCCAGAGGGCACAGCCTAGGGTCCCCTCCCCACCCTGCTCCAGAGGGCACGGCCCAGGGTCCCCTCCCCACCCTGCTCCAGAGGGCATGGCCTAGGGTCCCCTCCCCACCCTGCTCCAGAGGGCACGGCCTAGGGTCCCCTCCCTACCCTGCTCCAGAGGGCACAGCCCAGGGTCCTCTCCCCACCCTGCTCCAGAGGGCACAGCCCAGGGCCTGCTCAGCAGAACATGCCCACAGAGAGTAGCTGGGGGGGGGGGGAGTTCGTGATCCATGCTCAGTCAACCAGAGGCAGCCCTGAGACTTTGGCTGTCCTGATGATTTAGAAGGGCCCAGGGAGCTGCTGGAGCAAGTCTGGGGACCCTGGGACCACAACAGGAGAGTCTGGTGAGGAGAAAAGACATCAAAGAGAGGAGAAGCCAGAAGCAGACACCTGATGTTGGTCAGACACCTGGATCAAGTCACACCTGAAGGCAGACCATGAATTTTCCACTTACTCTTCTTAATGGAAGCTGTGCCCAGTTTGACTTGGCTTTTCTGTCACTCATACCCAATGGTCTTTTCATCTGCTTCATCTGTGCCTCCTTTCTAATAGTCCCCTTTTTGGGGTTTTAGGCCCCAAGGCCACAGGGATGGGGACAGGACTGTTGGGTGACCTCCACCCCCCACACCTGACCTTCTCTCCAAGTTGAAGGAGGAAGAAAGGGGAGGGTTGGAGAGATGAAGTGGGTTGTTTACAAACCACAGCCTCCGGGTGCTATTGTGAAATCTGGGGCTGGAAGGACACGGGTCGGGTTGAAGGGACAGGGGTTCAGGGGACAGGGGCTGAGGGTCCATCCCTCCTCTCCTTCTCCTGCCCACCCTAGGGCCCAGCCCCCTGCAGAGTCAGCAAGGCTGTGTGCTCTGGGTCTGGGGAGGGTGAGGTTCCAGAGGGCGACTTCCCCTTTCCCTGCTGGGCCGCAGCCCAGCTGGCAGATGGTCAGCTCCGCCCCTCCGCCCTCATAAAAGGGCCCCGGGGCCCCCGCCTGGGTCAGTGTTCAGGCCACAGTGGTGTCATCATGCCAGGCTCTACGTGCCTGGCGTCTCTGGTCCTCCTGGGGGCCGCAGTGTGTGGTGAGTGGACCTGGGGATGTGCCCAGCCGCCTATGGGGAGCCCACCAGGCCTGGGGGAGAACCTGGAGTTGGGGCCAAGGACTCGCCAAGCACTGGGTCTGGTCTGAGCCGCCTCAGACCAGTGAGGCTGAAATTCTGCAGCGAAAACGAGTCCTTAGAGCCGGCCGGCCGGCCGCAGGGGGATAGGGCTGGCCAGCTCCTTTCTCAGGTTTAATTCCAAGCCCTCGGGTCCTGGAAGTTGCCCCAGACCCCCTCACTCCGCAGGGTTCTGCCTTGGGCACTCTCTGCTGCTCCTGGGGCCCCACATGCCAGAGATGAGCTTTCAGTTGAGGCGTCCATGGGTGCGGGCGTCGGAGGCTGGGCCTCTCTGGGGCGCCGCCCTCAGGTCCTCTCGCCCCCATAGCGGCCCAGCCTCGCGGTCGGATCCTGGGCGGTCGGGAAGCCGAGGCGCATGCGCGGCCCTACCTGGCGTCCGTGCAAGTGAACGGCAAACACCTGTGCGGCGGCGTCTTGGTCACCGAGCAGTGGGTGCTGAGCGCTGCGCACTGCCTGGACGACGCGTGAGCAGCCACCGCCCGCGGGCCCAGGGACGGGTTTGCGGGCGGGCCCCGGGCGGGGCGGCCGTGGCACTGACCTGGTCCCGCGCCCCCAGGGCCGAAGGGAAGGTGCAGGTGCTCCTAGGCGCGCACTCCCTATCGCAGCCCGAGCCCTCCAAGCGCCGGTACGACGTGCGCCGAGCGGTGCCCCACCCGGACAGCAGGCCGGACACCATCGACCACGACCTCCTCCTGCTGCAGGTCGGCGCAGGCCAGCCGCGGTCTCTGTTGCTGCGCTGGGACGGTGTCCCACCCCGCTCTGACCCGCTTCCCCATCCCACTCTAGGCACCTTCTCTCCGGTGGCGCTGAATCCCCACTCCGCTGCGCGCCCCCGTCGCGGCTTAGCCGCAGCCTCTGGCTTCCCGCCCGCGCGCGGCCCTGACGTCCACCTCTGCCCCATTCCAGCTATCGGAGAAGGCGGCACTAGGCCCGGCCGTACAGCCTCTGGCCCTGCAGCGCGAGGACCGCGACGTGGCGCCCGGCACACTCTGCGACGTGGCCGGCTGGGGCGTGGTCAGCCACGCTGGCCGCCGGCCTGACCGCCTGCAGCACGTGCTCTTGCCGGTGCTGGACCGCGCCACCTGCAACCTGCGCACGTACCACGACGGCGCCATCACCCCGCGAATGATGTGCGCGGAGAGCAACCGCCGCGACAGCTGCAGGGTGCGCGGGAAGGGGCGGGTTAGGAGAGAGGTGGGGTCCGGGACGGGAGTCGAGGGACGGACGAGTGAGACCCGGGACTGAAGGGCGTATGGGGAGGGAGGAGCGGCAGAGACGCGGCAGGAGTGTGGCTGGCGGGTGGGGAGAGCGGAGGGCGGGCGGGCCCACGGCATTCACGGCTCCGCCCGCCCTGCAGGGCGACTCCGGAGGTCCGCTGGTGTGCCGGGGAGTGGTCGAGGGTGTGGTCACCTCGGGCGCGCGCGTGTGTGGCAACCGCAAGAAGCCGGGCATCTACACGCGCGTGGCGAGCTACACGGCCTGGATCGACGGCGTGCTGGCAGAGGGCGCGGAGGCCTGAGCGGGACCTACGGCGCGGGGCACGAGGAGATGGTAATAAAGGCGTTCGTTTCTATGTCCAGCATCTTTATTGAGCACCTGCCCCAAGGGAGACGCCAAGGGGCGTCTCCCAATCCCGGAGGCTCTTTCAGCACGGAAGCTGTCGGGTGTTGTTCGGCCACCGACCACACGGTGGCGCCCTCGCCCCTCCCGGGAAGCCGAGGGGTGGGGTACCCCTCTCCAACCAGCTCCCATCCGGCCCGCCCTCCGCTTTCCAGCGAAACGTGCAGGGTAGTTATGTGGCGGTGACTCACGACCTGCTGCGCGTCCCAAACGGGAAACAGGCTCAGGGGTCACACAAACTCCAGGAGGAGGCATGGCTTTGAAGCCGGTGATGAGGAAGCTGGGGTGTCCTGGGGCCCCGTGTAGCGGGCAGCTCTACACAGCCTGCACCTCTATAGACAACGGGGAGGTGACAGGACAGAACTCAGGCCCAGGCCACCTAGAGGAGAGGTGAGTGAGGCCCACAGCAGCAAGCTGGATATATAAAAGGAAGATTATATGGTTTCCTTTTTGTTGAAAAGAAGACTGAGGGTCTGAGGGGAAATCCCGCACCGCGCTGGGAACGGGAAGATAATATTGGAATCCGTGTCTTGGCTTATTGATTCTATGGAATGTTCACCCAGGAATTATAGCCCTACACCAGTATCTGTTGAGCACCTACTGTGTGCCAGCCCTGGGATGGGGGCCAGAGACACAGCTGAGGTCTGGGCCTGCTCCTGAGGAGCTTGGCAAATCCTCCACTGTGCGGCACGTCATTAATGTGGCTGGCCCTGCAGCTGTCCAGCAGTCAACCCAGCTTGGGGTGGCAGCAGGCAGTACTAGGTCTCCCAAGGAAGCTGCCCAGCCTCAGGGCACTGGGGAAGACAAACCCTTGTTACCATGTGAAGGCAGCCCACAGCCTGCAAGCCCCCTCTTGGACACATGCTAAGGGGTGGTCTGAGAGTCACTTCCCCTGAACTCCCTTATACCTTGTGGCGCTGCTGCCAGAGCTGAGAAGTGAGCACCGGGCAGGGTGGCCTGGGAGGTCTTACAAAACAGCCCTGGGGCTGGGGGCCTTCGAGCCCGCCTCTCCCCCCTCTCCTCCCGGCACAGGAGGGTTCAGTAGGCCAAACCAACTGAAGCCCAGCAAGGGAGCACCCTGCGACACGCTGCCACTGCTACAGGCCCTTTTCCCAGGGACTGGCTGTGCCCCAGGGCCAGCGTCAGCCCAGTGGCCTGCGGCCACAGCCCTGAATCACAACATAGACGGGGCCAGCCTGTCCAGCTCTAGACTCCCTGGCACCCGAGTCCCATCCTGCCATCAGTCTTAGCTCATGGAACATTCCAGAAAGAGCCCCAGGGGTCAGGCCCCACAGTGCTCTCCCACCCCACCTCCTTGCCGATACTGGGCCAGGTGCCCAGGACAGACAGGCTTGACACAGCAACATGAAATGGCAGTTGTTCACCCAGGGACATCAACTCTCTTGGGCTTAGGGCTCCTGACTGTGGGCAGGGGAGGAGCCAGGAGAGGGGGTGGCCCATGGCAGCCCCACCCACTGCACCCAGGCCTCTGCAGGGGACCTGGTATCATCTGCAGGTGTCTGCCCAGGCCAGGGAGGATGCCTGCTCGACGGAGGGGCCAGGTGGAGGCCCTGTGGAAGGCCACCCAGGTGCAAGTCATCTTGTGGGCTCTGTCCCTCAGGCAGTGGCCCGGGCACTGTCGCCCATCCCGGCTGCGCCTCGGCCCAGGAGGCTGTTGCCTCGCTCTGGTGGAGGCAGCTGGGGATGCGGTCTGCTGCCCATGCCCTCCCGGTGCCCGGTCCTGCAGCCACAGGTTGCCTAGCACCAGGCTCAGGAACCCCGCCAGGCGAGGGGCAGGCCAGGATCAAGTGCAGACAGCCATGCTGAGTTAGCCGCTGCCCTCCTGGAGCCTTCCAGAAAGAAAACAAGCAAACCAATTATCACTCAGCAGGCAGCATGTCTGCAGGGCCTGCCCACCTGGGGGCAGCTGGCCCAGAGCACATAATGGACAGAAACGTTCCCTGCCAGAAGGCAGACCCCTGGGGCATGAGGCAGAGCACTGGGAACCAGGGCCTTGGGCTAGCAGCGCCAGTGCGGGGGAGGGGATGGGGACAGGAGGGCAGAGCCGAGGGTAAGGACACACAGGGATGGAGACAGACAGGCTCCAGGCCTTCCCTCCACCCTCTGCCCCTTCTGGCCAACACAGACGCCAGGGCCTGGTGGGCGTCCATTTGATGCCCGTAAAGGCTGGCTGAGCTCAGGACAGAGCAAGCGAGATGCCCCAGTGCGGTGCAGGGGCCCACAGTGACAACGGGGGCCGGGGACAGAAGGCCCGGCTCAGCCCTGTCCCAACCCCTGCTGGAATGGCCTTCAAGGAACAGGAGGGAAACGGAGGCAGCATGTGGCCTGCAGCAACTGGCTGGTGGCCAGCAAGTCCCCAGGACAGGGCCTGTAGCCCACTAGTCCTTGGGCAGGGACCAGGCACTCAGGGTGCTGGCTGCGGAGGTGCAGGGTGGGCGGTCCCAGAGGCCACGGCCTGATGCCGAGGGACCCGTTGACAGGGGTGAGGGGCCTCGTGCCTCCGACAGCCCCCAAAACAGGCAGGGAAGGAAGGGTGTCCAGCTCTAGGGCCCTGTGGGGCCAGCACCATTGAGTCCACCCAGTCTCTACCCAGCCCACTGGGCAGCACCGCTCAGGGGCAGCACCCTCAGGGGCAGCTGGGGGGTGTCCGCCGCCAGAGCCCCCCACACAGGCAGTTCTTGATCCAGCGCTGCTCCCACTGCTTGACCGCCGTGGTCTTGTTGGGGGACCTGAGCATTGTGACGCAGCCGCACCTGGGGGCAAGCACAGGCCGGCTACAGGGTGCCTGTCATCGGCCTTCCCAGCAGCCCAAGGCCTGGCCCGTGCCCATGGGTGATCCAAGGGTCCCAGAGCACTTAGACCTTCTTTCTGGTCATGCTGAAGGCTGTGCCTCGCCACCCTGCGGCCAGGTAGGACCTCCAGAGGCCACTGGCTGGGACTCAGCCCCCCAAGAGGGAAGCCAGGATGCAGGCCTGGCGCTCACCTGGTGCAGGCCTTGCACTCCTCTGTGGGGTAGGCGCCCAGGTGCAGCCGCCGCAGATGGTCCATCTTAGGCTGGCCTGGTGCTCTGGGGACGGGAGGGGAGGCGGGAGGGGAGGCATGAGGGCCGGGGCACAGGGCCAGACTGGGCAGGAGGGTCAGTCCTCCCACCATCAGGTATCAACCCTGGGACACCAGCTTCTGCCAGTGGCCAAGTGCCCTGAGCACAGGAAACAGGCCAGCACCGTGGCCTTCCCAAGTGGGTGGCCCTGCACTTGGTGGCATGGGATGGCATGCACACAGGTGGAGCACAATGATCTCCCTGAGAACAAGGACACTAGTACACGGGCACAGAAATGGTGACTGCCACCACCCAGAGGCTGTGGCCATTGCTGTCCCCCTCCTTCTGTGCTGGGGATTGAACCAGGCCTGGACCTTGTGACCCTCCTGCCTCAGTTTCCCAGGTGACATCACAGGAGCCTGTCACCCTGCATCTGGGGAGACTGAGGCAGGAGAGTCAGAGTCTCAGACCCTCAAGAGGCATCTGCCACGTGACAGGCCTTGGCCTGGTACCCCTTGGAGGTTTAGGCTGGGAGGACGGCTGCGGGGCCATTTGGGACAGACCATCTGGGCTGGGAAGGGCACCGGGAGCGGCTGGGGCAAGGGAGCCAGGTGCATGCTGACAAGGACCTGGCTGAGAGGGGTCTGAAGCCTTGGGCAGGGCACTGGTGGTACCCACAGAGGGCAAGATAGGCAACTGGGGGGGGGGGGGCAGTGCACACATCTGCCCAGGCACGCAGGCCACAAAGGCCAGGACCCCACATGCCACAAGAGCCTGGGGGCAGCACGGCCTGAGGGGCTGGGACAGCCCTTCAAGTGGCTTCTGCAGAGCTGGGTTAAATTCTCTAGAACAGAGCTCCAGAAGGGACCCTGTGGCAGCCTGCCCTGCACAGCCCCGCCTGCCCCCGCCTGCCCCAGCATTGCCCCCCACAGCCCCGCCCCTTTCCCCCAGCCCCACCCTTGCCTTTCCCTGAAACCCAAAGCCAGGCTCCAGACTCTCCACCGTGAGCACCAGAGGACCACCAAGAGGGCTGGCCAAGCCTGGCAGCTTCCCGGGGTGGCCACAGCATGGCCTCCCTGTCACGTCCTGGGCTTTGTTTCTATTTCTACATATTTTTTATGCTGGAAAACACCCTCCAATTTTATGTCTATTAAAGAGAAAAGTAGGGGTCCATCTCCAAGATACTGACATAACCGACAACCCGTCAATCTGCGCTGCCTCCTGTCCAGTCCTAGGACGTACCTGTGCCCTGCCTGGCCAGCGGGGCAGCAGGAGCCGCCCTGTCCACCCCCATGCTGCTCAGTCCCCAGCTCTATTGCTCAGGGAGCCTCACAGCTTCCGCGGTGACCAGGACTTGGGTGGGGCCTCTGAGTGGTCTGGGTCTCCACCCAGTGACTTCAGAGGCTTGGTCCTCTCACCTACTCATGGAGTCAGGAGGCCCCCTGGGTGCCACTGTCCAGGACAGGGCTGGCTCAGCACCAGGTCGGACCCCACACACCCCAGAGGCCAGCCAGGTGGCATCCTGCACACAGCATGATCGCAAGCCCAAGAAGGGTGCAAGGGTGTGACCGGGCTGCGGATGCCCCATGGAAGTGGCGGGCAGGGCTGCCACTCACCTGGCGAGGCTGTCTAGCTGCAAAGTGGTGGCACTGCCTGGCAGCGTGGGTGCCCTGCCGAAGTACAGGCGCAGGGGTTGCTTGGGCTGCAGGCGGCTGACCAGACCATCGCTGACGGGCAGCCAGTCCAGGCTGGGGACCAGCAGCTGGCTGGGCAGCAGGCAGCACTCGTCCACTAGTGCCTCATCTGGCTCACTAGATGGGCCCTCGTCTCGGCCTGTGGGGAAGTGGTCTCAGTGACCGGTTGGCACACAACAGCCTCCTTGGGACATCCAGGGTGACCTGGAAAGCTCCTTCGTGCCCCTGGCCTCACTAGCCTCCTCTGTGGGGCAGGGACTGCCAAGTACCCTCCAAAGAACTCTTCTGCAAGCACCAGTGCCCTTCCCAGGCACTGGGAGCAGAACCAGTACACCGCCTGATGGCTGGCGCCAAGGGCTGCCCAGCCCACTGGACCTGGCAGGGCTGGGCTGGCTACCCGTGGGACTCAAGGCGCCTTTCTGCCTACAGGAGCTTATACTCTGGCGGAGCATCTCAACTAGGGACTGGACTGTGGTAGGGAGACAGGACTAGTAGTTGGGGGTGCCTCACAACAGATCCAGAGCTTGGTGAGCAGGCGGAAGAGCAGGGACATGCTGTCCTGGGTGTCCGAGGTGGCTGTGTACACGGGCAGGCAGCTGGGCTTCAGCAGGCCCCAGATGCGAATGACCACCATCAGCTCCCGCAGCATGCCCAGTGAGGTGCCATCCCGCAGGAAGCTGTGGCCTGGCCGCAGTGGGGAGCCCTGCCGGACAGACGTACTGGGTGTGACCACCAGACCTGTGCGTCCCCAGTAGGCAGTGGGGCACCTGAGGCCCCTGGGCAGCGTGGCTGTAGAGACGAGCAGGTGAGGCTACTGGGCACCCACCTGAGAGCGACCAGCCCTGGTGCCCACTGTGCTGAGCAGGAGCCCTGAGGAGGCAGACCCCCCAGAGGAGCCAGCTCTGGGGTTCCTGGGGAGCCTGATGCCTTGCTGGGGAGGGGAAGGTAGGCTCCTCAACCCGTAGGCGGTTACAGCACCCCAGGGCAGGGAGGCCTCCCGCTGTGCTCCCCTGCAGTGAGGGCAGAGCCCCCAAATCCACAGAGCAGCCGCTGCATGCGACTAGCTGGGGCTTGGACTGGTGTTGAAGCCCAAAGGACACCAGGAGTTAGTTAGGATTACGGTGCTGGTGGATGAGGAGACTAGGGAGGAGCAAAGGGAAGAAGAGTTGGAAAAGTTGGGTTGGCGCTACGGCTTGGAGGAGGGGAGGCAGAGGCGTGGCTGGGGAGGAGGCGGGGCTTGAGGGAGGGGAGGCAGAGGCGTGGCTGGGGAGGAGGCGGGGCTTGGGGG